TTTTTTTTTTTGGCTGGGGCCAGGTTTGAACCCACCACCCTCCATATGTGGGGCCAGAGCCCTACTCACTGAGCCACAGGCGCCACCCCTACATTCTTTTTGAGGTAAAGAAAATGTTCTAAATTTCGTTATGGTGATGGTTGCAAACTCTGTGAGTTATTAAAAATCATTTAATTGCAAATTTTAAAAGGGTGAGTTATATGATATTTGAATATCAATCTGTTACAAAAATAATCATAATCTAACAATTTAAAACTTAATCCCAAAGAAAAAGAAAATAGAAGAGATACTGCTGCTAGGAAAGCAAAGAAAGTGAGTTCAGTAAAATTTGAAGTTTTACAGCACAGGAAGCCTGCAAGAGTGGGATGCACAAAGAAAATATTAGCACTTCTATTTCTAGTTTATTTTAACACAAAAGGAATAGTAAAATTTTCTAAAATATATACTATGTTAATTAGTGCCTTTACTCAGAGGATCAAGTGTCCCGTGAGGCTGAAGAGGCATTCTGAAGAAAAAAGTAGGAATTTCACAAAAAGGCTGGCTGAATTTGGGGCCCACGTTCACTTTTTCCCTTTCAGCATATTGTACCATTTGATTCATTTGTTCTACTGTCCGGACTCACCCCTCCTAAAATGAGTAAGTAGCTTCAAAAGATTCCCGCAAACAAAACATTGCTTGAAACTAATAACTGCATTGCTTATACAAGTGAAAAACAAGACAATACATAGTAGCTCAGCTTATCTGACTATTATGATCTCTTCTATGATTCACACAAATAAATAGTAACAATAAATATTTGTTGCATGAATGCATACTATAAAATCATGAAAGGCAAGAAAGAACACTAAGGAAATTACTAACAATTCTTTAATTTTAGTACATGTACTTGTACTTGTAACCACTATTCCCCTCTGCCCCACAGGGTAACTATAGATATCTTGATCTTTATGATTAAAATCAGATAAAATGGAAACATAGAAATTGGACATGTTCTATGTAAAAGACTAAACTTTAAGGGGTTGGATTATTTTCACATAACAAATTCCTCATGAATCTTATTTAATAATGTGTCCTAATTTATTAAGTACATAAGGGCACAGTACTGTGCACGCACCTGCAAAGTGCATTAAAACATTAAAGACACTCAGAAGTATTCCAAGCTGTGCTGGTCTGTATATATTAAAAAAAAAAAAATTATGTTTCTTTCTGGTAAATGTTTTGTGTAACACACTGCTGGTTAAAGGATGAAAGAATATTTTCAACCTTAAGTAAAGGATAATAGTGTCAGCTGATACCTGATAGTAATAAACTAGGAAGTGGGAAGAGCTTAAGGATTTTTACTCAGAGAAAAAAGTTAACAAGAAAAAAAAGGTTAAAAACAGCACAGAGGGAGACGACAACCTCGGAAAAGCCTTTGGGCTAATGCAACAGGTCAGAGACTCCAGTTTATGAGATTTAACCCCTTTAAGTCCTTTCACCCCTACAAATCAGAAGGAAGGTTTCTACTAAGTACCTGTAATTGAAAACATCCTCCCCGAGATATGACTATTAGTTATTCTGTAGCTAAGACCTGGAAGCAAATTAATTGCCACAGTAACAGTTTAGAGGTTACCGTATTTTTTCAAGAGGATGCGGAGATAAGAAGGTTTTAGCGTTCGTTTTTGATGAATATTTTAGACAAGAGACTTTTTTAAAAGCACTATTAACTGGCAGACAAAACAAAGAGAGAAGTTCAAAGTAGATTTCGACATTTCTGCTGAAGCCTAGAAATCTGCATGGATGAAGCAAAAAACACACCATCTTGTTAGCAGTCAAGGTGGAACGTGTTTGCGGTGTGATCTGTCTTGCAAGCACAGCCACACGGCCTTATAGAATCCCTTGGGTTCTGCCTATTCCCAGGGACAAAAGCAGCGCCCCAAAGCAGCAGCCAGAAGCTGCGGACCCTAACTACACCTGACCAACACCGGCGATCCCAAATGCTCCTCTCCCCCACCTGGGATGTTCTGCCACCTGGACCCGACGCGTGGCAAGGCCCTCCGTGGCCATATTTCGCTAAATCCTCCTTTCTTCTGTAGTTGTAACTAGTAAAGCAAAACTCCCAGCGCAGTCACGAGACATGTGTCAGAGGAGCCGCTTTCTTCCGGTGGTACGTAGTACAAACCCCCACCCTGCGGAAATCCTGCAGCTCCGCCGAGGTTGCTGCTCCCAGTCGGCCCCGCCTCCGGGTTTGGCTCCTGGGATCTAGGCCAGAGTGCCCTTCCAGCGTAGTCAGGTACAGACACCGTCTGGCTCTGAGCTCTCAGGGAGCCGGGACTGTCTGGAGCCCCTCCTCACAGTACGTGCAAAGCTGACTAAGGAGGTTTTCTTTCAGTGCCCTGATGATGTCTGAGAACAGCGTTAAAACCTGGCTCTTGCCCAAATCTTTGTAGTCTAATCTATCTCAGGTCGCCTTTATTTTTAAGGTCAGGTTTTGTTCTTTAATGTCCAGCAGCTAATCCCCAAACAGCACTAAAATGTTTAGCTATTGCCTCTTAGGCAGATTACGTCCAAATCAAGCAACATAAAATTGATGCAGCACTTGATTTAAACGTATTTGCATTTATTTCCAGAATAGAGGCATTAATGGGCCTTCCTAGAAAACAATTAAGAGTGGGGGGAAAAAAGAAAGAAAGAAGAAACATGTCTTTCACCCTCCAAGAACCCTTAGCATCCAGTTAATCCAGTTAATCCCCTTCCTTTTTGTTCCCTAGAGAAAGCCCAGATGCCCTATCTAAAGAAGCATACCATCCCCACTGCATCACCTTAACACATTACTGTTGTCCTCCCTTCACAGGTCTCATACCTTGCACAGTTATTTTCTTATGTATTTATTGTCTGGCTCACCACTTGCACCATCACTACTACTAGAAGGTAAGCAACTTAGGGCAATAACTGTGTATCCCCAGCCCCTAGAAGAGTGCCTGACAGATTGCTTTAGAATAAACAGGTAAAATAAACTGAATGAACGATGAAGGGGAAGTGACGTTCCTAAGGTCAATTCAGATCAATTAATTCTCAATCTAGCGCACTTTGGACTTCCAAATGCTGAGATTAAGCCCAAGTGAAGCCAGCTAGCAAAACACCTATTCCAAGATTCCCTAATTAAGGAAGTTTGTCCCCACATGCTCAACACTCTAGGGGTAGAGCATAACCCACAGAGAGTCAGTAAGTCGCCACTCCAGAATTTCTCTATGTGTATGTCAGGAGTGAGAGAAAGGAAAAAGTATGCATCAACAATATCAAAGTGTAACAAAGGGTGGAAGCTCCTTGGCACTCCCTTGGATTATTAGTACAAATGCTATATTTTGGAAACTAATGTTACTTTGGTCTCAGGGCTATTGTCTCACTATTATTTCAGTCTCTCCTTATCATTTGCAAATGAAGCAATTACACTTTTTTTTTAACCCCTGTAAATTCCAGTATGATGCTCATTGTGGTTTAATTTTGAGCAAGGGAAAGCATCATTGTCACTTGTAAATAGTTCTGAATAGGAAAAGAACCTGAGAGAAAAACGTAAAATTTTTAGAAACTTCAGTAAATATGGAAAAGGACAGAATTATTTTTATCAGATATGTTTATAATATATTCTTCTGTATTAATTTTTAAAAATAACTAAATAGTAGAGCTTTGAAAATATTGGTTCCTTTGAAGAAAATTTTCCAAAATAAATTCATTTTATGCAGGGTAAAAAAAATGAACATAATGACTATAGGAATTGTTTTACAAAAGAATACTTTCTATTGAAACTGTATTTGATAACCAAACATTAACTTTGCTAATGAAACCAGATGGCAAATCATTAGTTTGGATCTTGGATACCTATATATTAGTCTTAACAAAACTGATGCAGACTGGAAATCACCTTATAGAGCGCCTGATAACATATCCTTTTTGAAATGATTGGTCCAAAGTGAAAGAGCATATCAGAGCTGGAATTAAAACTCAGGTCTGTGGTCTCCCACCCCAAAGGCCATACTACTTCTGTGTGACCCCAGTAATGGATACTTGAAAACAAATCACTGAAACAATTAATAATTCTTCTCCCAAATTAAATGTATACATTATAACTTTTATAAAGCATTGCTATTAAAACAACCAGTTCAAACAACTCAAGAACCTCAAATAGTCACCACAAACCAAAACTAACATTACTTTCTTATACTACTTGGCCTCTGCCAGGCATCTTGCTAAGCAAGCATCCTTCATGTTATATTCTCTTTAAATTTTCCCAACAATCCTTATGGGGTAGAAAAATATTCCTTTGTCAATTTTAAGACAAAGAAATTTTATTTCTTACTAGCAAAAATATTTAAACATTTACATTTTACAGTATTTTTATTTTCACAAATCCTGAACCTCTCAGTTCTTTGTTTTTTGCATACAGGCACACTTACAATAAAGTTTAGAGTCTAAATTACAAACTAATGGTGGTATGTTATGATAGTCTTAAACAGAAACCTAATTAGTAAACTTGAAATTCTTTCTCTTCTCCCCACCTGTGGGTATATTGCACAGGTGTGTGGCACATACATGGGGGTGGGACACACCTACAAATCAGGCTTTAACCTTACAAATGCAAACTAGGGAATCTGTTTGTACACCCCACATTAATCTGAAGTTAAGAATAAGTAAAAAGAATAATTTTATATGCCAAATAATGTATTCTCCTCAAAGGATAATAAACTCTGTACAGAAAAAGTACTATGTCAATAGCAAACAAAACAAAACCAAACAAACACTAAAATGAAATAAAAAGAAAAGGATCCAAAATATGACTAAAAAGCATGAGCATAAGAGTTGTTCAGACCCAGCTAACGCCTAAAGTTGTTTAAGTCTCACCTTAGAAATCACTTCCTTCAGGAAGTTTTCCCTATTCCCTAGGGCTACCTCTACCTTCAAAATTAAGTACTAAGTGTCTAAGGGAGATTGATCATTTATCTGAAATATTATTATTTTGATGTGGAAGCAGTAGAACAGTGTAGAAAAACGATAGATGCAGATACGGAGGAAAAGGCAAAAGCTGGGGGGAGCAGGAAAGGTCTAGTTTAAAAGGAGGAGGGGCGTGGTAGCTCACACCTGTAATCGTAGCACTCTGGGAGGCCGAGGCAGGTGGATTGCCCTGAACTCACAGGTTCAAGACCAGCCTGAGCAAGAGTGAGATCCTGTCTCTAAAAATTGCCCAGCCTTGTGGTGGGCACCTGTAGTCCCAGCTACTTGGGAGGCTGAGGGATGAGAATCACTTGAGCCTAAGAGTTGGGGGTTGCTGTGAGCTGTGACATTACAGCACTCTACAGAAGATGACAAAATGAATAAAAAATAAAAGGAGTCCAAAGGAGGAAACAGACTTTCCTAGGATTTAAAGCAGATTCTGCTAAATAGCAGAAAATTTTCCACTATCCTCTTAGATTTAGTGGCTGAGGACTGCAAGTTAAACTGACAAAGGACAGGTTAACAGGAGAAGCATATAAATTTTATTGATATTTGTAATTTTATATAAGTAGGAGCTTTTTATAGAAAAGTGAAAAACCCAAAGAAACACTTGCACTTGGAGGCCTAATAAATAAATGGCAATAAATTATAAAGAGGTGAGTAAGAAATACAGGGGTAGGCTCAGCGCCTGTGGCTCAAGCAGTTAAAGTGCCAGCCACATGCACCTGAGCTGGCAGGTTTGAATCCAGCCTGGCCTGCCAAACAACAATGACAGCTGCAATCAAAAAACAGCCGGGCATTGTGGCAGGTGCCTGTAGTCCCAACTACTTGGGAGGCAGAGGCAGGAGAAATGCTTGAGCCCAGGACTTGGAAGTTGCTGTGAGCTGTGATGCCACAGGACTCTACCCAGAGGGGCAGCTTAAGGCTCTGTCTCAAAAAAAGAAAGAAAGAAATGTACGGTGGAAAGTAAGGTTTAGTAAGGTTTATTTATGCTGACTCATCTTGGTGATGGCTGTCTTTATCCTGGTAAGGGGGGGATGTTCATGTCACCTGCACAAAGGTAAATTTATACCTTGCTTCTAGGCAGATAAGAAGGGCACAGAGAATGTTTCCTGCATCTCTTGGCTCTCAATTACCTTCATCTCAAAATAATACTACGCCAAGGTAGCATATTTGGGGGGTGGCATATTCTGGACCCCTTCTATGCTCAATAACACTCTATTTGCCTATTCCTCCTATGGCAATTTTAGAGATGAAAGATGTAATTGCAATGTAGACCATTCCGAAGCTTAGTAATTTGGTTCCTTTAACCTTGCCTCCATCTCTATAAAACTCTTTGGGCAGTGCCTGTGGCTCAAAGGAGTAGGGTGCCGGCCCCATATGCTGGAGGCGGCGGGTTGAAACCCAGCCCCAGGCTTGGCGCCTGTGGCTCAAGCAGCTAAGGCGCCAGCCACATACACCTAAGGTGGCGGGTTCGAATCCCCAGCCCGGGCCCGCCAAACAACAAGAATGGCTGCAACCAAAAAATGGCCAGGCGTTGTGGCGGGTGCCTGTAGTCCCAGGGAGGCGGAGGCAGGAGACTCGCTTGAGCCCAGGAGTTGGAGGTTGCTGTGAGCGTGATGCCATAGCACTCTACCCAGGGGGATATCTTGAGGCTCCGTCTCAAAAAAAAAAAAAAAAAAAGAAAAAAAGAAAAAGAAACAGCCCCAGCCAAAAACTGCAAAAAAACAAAAACAAAAAACAAAAACTCTTTTCAGCTGACTCCACTCCTCTGAGCTGGCCATGAGTTTTCTGTTCAGATGTTTATTGATAAAAAAGGAGTCCTCTTTTTCTGCTCTTCCAACACATAAATGTTCAGCCTCTCAAAATAAGTATAGTAAAAAATTTAAAAGATGATTGGTCTGGAAGGATGAGCCTATTTGAGTGCCTCAACCTAGAGTAGAGAAGCATGAATATAAGAGCTTACTTATAGCCAGGTGAGGTGGCTCACGCCTGTAACCCTAGCACTCTGGGAGGCTGAGGCAAGTGGATTGCTTGAGCTCACGAGTTCAAGACCAGCCTAATTAAAAATGAGACCCCATCTCTCCTAAAAATTAAAAAACCGATGCAAGAAGATCACTTAAGCCCAAGTTGGAGGTTGCTGTGAGCTATGATGTCATAGCACTCTACCTGGAGTGACAGCTTGAGACTCTGTCTCAAAAAAAAAAAAGAGTTTACCTAAATACATCACATTTTCCCTCCCT